GGGGGGGGGGGGGGGGGGGGGGGGGGGGAGGGAGGGAGGGGCATACAAAAAAAATTGTACTTCAATGTTTTAATGATTGACGAATGATGAAATATTTGTGTTTTTAAAAAGAAATAAAACCTTTGGAACAAAAAAAAAATGAATTTCACCACTGCCAGCAATCCAAAGTGAGGTTCCTAAACAGATTAGGGACTTAAACCGCCTTCCCAGCCAAATTAAAACGGCATCAGCATTAACCTAGAATGAAGAAGAAACTTCCTATCCGTGAGAACAATTAATCAGCATAACTTCCAGAAATTGTGGGTGCCCCATCACTGGTTCAGATTTTCAAGAAGAGATTGGACAGTCTTAGAATGGCATAGGCCAGGTTCTTCCGCTCGAGCAGGGGGTTGGACTAGAAGACCTCCAAGGTCCCTTCCAATTCTGTCATTCTGTATTTGTAACTCAATGAGGTTCACGGCTGGGTCCTTGGTATTCCCTGACTTACAACCCGTTCATTTACTGACCGTTCAAAGTTAGAGCAGCATTGAAAAAAGTGACTTCTGACCGTTTTCACAATTGCAACTCTTTGTTGCGTCCCCATTGCTATGTGATCAAAATTCAGCTGCTTGGCAACTGCTTCATATTTACGGCAGTCGCGAGATCCCCTTTCTCCACTTTCTGACAAGCCAAGTTCAAGGGAGAAGCCAGATTCACTTAACAACCGGGCTACTCGCTTAACAACGGCGAGGATTCCCTTAACAACGGCGGCCATAAAAGCTAAACTCACTCAAGAAAGGTCTCACACACACAGCCACATCGATGGTCGGACTCGATTCTGGCCGTAAGTCGAGGACTACCTGCACTGGGTGGCTGGGAACTTCCCAGTTACCTGCCGGCGCCAGGTAGAGCAAGCGGGAGCGAAGCGCGTCGCCCGCAGCCGCTCCGCCTCCCGCGGGGAAAGTTTCCCCGCCTCTCCATCCAGGCGGCCCGCCCTCCCAGCCGTAAATCCGCGGAGCTGAGCCGGCTGGCTTCGGTTCCCTCAGTCGGAGCTGCTGCCATGGCGAGCGGGGTGGCCGTCTGCGTTCTTTTGGTCCTGGCTCTCTCCGGGGGCAGCGGCGCTGCAGGTACCCCTCGGCCGGGGCGATGAGCGGGGCGGGAGAGGGCAGGGCGAGTGGGCAAAGCAGATGGCAAGGTTGGAGATGGCAGTTGAGCCGGGAAGAGGCGGAAAGAGGTCGGCGGGAGGGTGGGTGTCCCATTTGGATAGGAGACCACGAGGAGATTCTCCGGGAAGAGGGGGTAAACTAAAAGGAGACCCCCTCGAAAGCATCTTAACGCCTCGCCAGAATCCTTCCTTCGTCTCCACTACGGACGAAGGAGAGATCGCCTTCAACTTTAGTTTTTCTGCCCAAACAAGGATATCACTCTCGCTTCCCTTCCGAAGTTTCTGCGGGACGGGATCGCCGCCGCCGCCCCTCTCCCCGCTACCCTCCGGTCCCCCTCCCCCTCCCGCGTCCCTTTCGCCTTCGCCTGCCTGCATAAAATCCGACCGAGCGTGCGGAATTGATTGGCAACGATCGGGGGAACCGTTTTGCGTAAAGAGATCGCTCGTTCCGCCGACTTTTAGACCAGTCGGGATTTAGTCGGATTTATGACGTCCTTCGTCTCTTTTTTCCCTCCCGACCCACAGCTCCAAAATTTTCAGGAATACTGCATGCTTGGTTGTTGTTTGTTTGTTTTTTGTTTCCCTAATCTTCAAAACCGCTTCCGGTCACAACTGCCTGCTCTCTTCTTCTGAAGTCTAAAGTTGGGGAGGGGGGGTCGGATGGATAGTTTTTCTACGATTGTTTTATAGTTGTGTTTCTAACTGTTGGGTTAGGGTGAAGGTGGGGGGGGGGCAATTGATAAGTTTGCCCTGTTTCGGTTAGGAAAGGACACAAGAAGCAAAACACTTTGGTGAGAAAGGAAAAGGGGAGAGAGAGAGAGAGAGAGAGAGAGAGAGAGAGAGAGAGAGAGAGAGAGAGAGAGAGACACACAGATAGAAAGAAACTGATACACACACACACACACACACAAACAGAATGCAAGCAAAAAAGGAAAGAAAAACAAAAAGGGAGAGAAAGGAAGAGAGAAAGAAAGAAAGAAGAAAGAGAAAGAAAAAGAAAGAAAGAAAGAAAGAA